ATGACAATGAATGAGCAACGACTTACCAACTGAGACTTCAATAATATGATTGCTTTGTTTGTGAAAACAATTTTAATCCCCTTTTCTCTTCGCACTTGTTAACCAATCTTCCACCCGTGTTTCTAAGAAAAACACACTATATAAATTCTGAATGAGAGGCCAATGCCACTCAATGCACCCAATCATCTAACATTCAGTTATACCTTTTGAACACACTATGACTCTGGCCATTCAGACAAAATGCTTTTATTTACGGTCGTCGTCCAATATACCAAATTATCATTACAATATGGTTTCGATTACATTTTCGATAAGTCTGAGCGAAATTAATAACTTATTTGCAGAAAAACGAAAGCACATCGCATGAATGAATGAAATATGACGATATTTAGAAGGTATAAACCCAATATTAATAAGAACAATAGAATGTAAAAATGATACCGCCAAATAGTAAGACATAAAATGAAATATCTCATTTTGGATTCAAATTTGTTTCAAGGATAGCGACCAAGTTGCCGTTTCACTTTACATAGATTGTTCAGGTCAAGGTGGTTATTTTAAAACATGTAGCCTTCTTGAATTTGATTTTCATGAAATATGGAGAACATAAACTAACTTAGTTTGGATGAATTTAGACACCCTATATCTAGGAATTTCTTGGTCGTCTGGGGTCATAGAAGGGACCCTTGTCTAACATTGAATATCTCTGCAAGTATTTCGGCTAAAGATACTGGAATACCAGTACCTCTACTGTTCTCTGCTATTTTTAGACTGTCTAAATTTTACGTATTATTATTTTGTTATAATTCTGAGGTTTTTTTGGATTAGGATGTGCAAAAGAATCGGAGAAATAGTCATTATAACATTTATAAGATAAGCGCTGAGCGTTGCTAAGCGCGTGCTTAGTGTTTGCTCGAGCTCAGAATGTTGTCACGCGGTTCAAAAATGTGACAAAAGTATGTAATGCCCACTCCCTATGGTTTATTTGACACCAAAAATCGATTTCTCACGTAAAGTTGGAGCAAGGAGCAGTTTTTCGGCTTTTTTGCCCGACATTTTGTTGAGTCTTTTTATTATTTTGAAATTAATGCTTGCGTGAGCGATGTGTTAATACATCATGCAGATTATAAATGTTTATGTAAAAAATTAACACAAATCGTCTAAAGCCTCGATTCTGAAGTAAGATATATCAAAATGATTCTAGAAATGTGAACTAAATCACTGTAACCAGTTTCCGTTTGCATTTTGGACTATATTCTAAGGATTAGGCCGCTTTGAGGTATAATATCTAATAATAAATAAATCGTAGAAGGATCTCAATTTCGAGTGGAATTATACACACTTCAAACACACTTATATTTTTTTCGAATATATTTGAATTTGAGGTGGAATTCAATAATCTAGTTATTACAAATTGAAGTTGCGATAACAGATTGATTTCACACCAAAATAATGGAAATAGATTATGTGGGGAAATAGATTATGTGCATGGTAGGTGTAGATGTTTGGAAATCGCCTTAAAGAAGCATTTCTTAAATAATAAAGAGTTAAATGCTTTTTATTAAAATGGATTTCTTTAACAGTCATTAAAAGGTTTCAAGACTGAGCATTTACAGTGTTTTGTCTACCACATTCTCATTTAGCTACATTACTTTAAATATACTGTCATTACTGATATTGGCGTTGATGTAAAGTGAAATGTGTCAAATACACCGCCAAATAATAATGTGAAAGTCAAGAATGTTTATTGGAAGATATGGCTGTATTATATACCAAGTCGAAAAGCAAAAGGTTCCGACAAAATAATTTTGTTTTATGTGACGGCACAATATGGTGAATTTTTATTATGCAAACATCTTATTATGCAAAATTGTTTCGCTTTCATGAAATTAAGCAGTATACTTCAATAAAAGTAAAACGAAAGCACGTTGTTTTGAACGAAATATACAACATCAGAAGACAAACAAACTACTAATAAAAATGACAAGAAAGTAAATTAAAGAGTGTTATTTAAAAGATTGGACTAAAATTCCTTCAATTCGGTCCAAGATTGGCTTCAACAAAAGGCCGCCGGAATTATCGCTTCCGCGTTCACATAATTTAGAGTTCTCTTTAATTGACGTGACTGTTGCAGTTAAGAAGGCTTGTTGTAAAGCATGCCGAGGGTGTTGTATTTCCGGAATTTGAAAACCACTGAGCGGATACGCGAGAACGGCTTTGCCAAATAGATTTGAAAAGGATATGAAAACGACGGCATGACGCGTGGCGTTTAAAATCCCGTCCATGGACCCACGTTCCCTCGTAGAGGGGTATTTATTTATTTGATTCCCAATCGACATTTTAACATAAAATATTTGCTGACATAAATTGTTTAACGTAAAAATATTCTTCCGTTCCAAATTTTTTAGCATCGTGCAGACGGTTATTTCGCTGCATGTTCCCCCCGAATGAGATGAAATTTAGAAAATATTCACGAACGGAACATATTTTCTGCATTTTTTGCAAAGGCCACTGCTTGTCCGGCGAATTCGGGATATTTTTGAAATATAAAATGTAGTCGAATCGTAAAATATTGACTGGATCGTAAAAGCTTTGACGTCGATTGGAAAAGTGCATTTGAAATATTGTTGACTGAATTGTTGGACGAAATATTCCCTTATTTATTTACACGCAAACGCATTATTGCGGGAGTGTTGTGTAGTCATTTGGAAAGTGTAGACTATAGACTATGAAACTTGTGACTTAATTTTGTCAGGCTTTTCCAGAAGTCCAAGATATATATTACGCTCCTAAAAAGAGGAAGTACTTAACACGGGCCGGGAAGGCTTATAAGGATATTAAAACATGCAGCATGCCAGCAGTCATTATTTTATACACCACTTCCTGCTTATTGCGTTAAGCCAGCTTTAAAGCCATGAGGAATTACGTCTTCATAACTATCGTTATATTTGCTGCGAAACACTTGCCTTGGCAGTGCAAAGGTAAAAAAAACTCATATTTATTTCCTTTATGAAAAATTCCACATTCAATCGACCAGTATGAAGTTTAAGTTGTAATATGTAATCATGTTCATATCGACATAAATACTTCCGTTAGGGTATTGAACGTCAACATTATATACTATACAAAGTGAGTACAAAAATGATTATAATATTGAGAGGTATAGAACTTCGGTTAACTGCATGCGTCGAGTTGGACGCCAGATTAATCTGGATAGTCATAAGCTCGGCAGTTCGACACTATCTGCATGTCTAAAAGTCGCCGTAAATCCTGGCGTATCGCCGAGTTTGAAGCTAAATCTTTTGAGCGCAAACCTGAAGTCTGACTTGATAGCTGTCCGCGTGTAGAAAATGAACGAATTTCCGAAAGCTAATGGTAAAATTTGATTTGGACGCCAGAACCATTTCATTCTCGGTGGACTTGATATTTCATTGTTTTAAGTCTTTTTCCTTGTCCTTGTTTTCTTGACCGTGTGTCCTAATGCGATACTAGCTACTTACTAACTAACTGAGTGTAAGGTTTTTAAAGGCCAATGCATTTACACTATGCGATTTGTTGCATACGATTCATATACCCTGGCGTATGTGAACGTATGAACATGCACCGGCACATGCAAACGTGACACTTTAAATTCCACCCTAAACAGAATTATATTAATATAGTGGCATTTGTCCTCCTTTGCATCCGTCAGAATGATAATTGCATCTAAATAAGCCTTAAGGTAGAATGTCAAACTGAGATCTTGGCGATAGCACATTAAACAAAAAGGACCTATTCAACAGAAAGTTGCTAGTTTGCGGTTGTAACCCCAAAGAAGGGCTGATCCGCAGGCTAATCTGACGAACAAATCGCTATTTTGTATTTCCTGACATCCTGAAGACTTTCTGACCCGTGAAGATTACACAGAGATCAAATACATCGCTAGACGCGAGGTAGCTTTAATGCCTAGCGAGCATCCTGTTATATAAACGCGATTAAGACGGTCAGACAAGGCGTAGACGATTCATCAGTTACAATATCGACTTGTCTGATACACAAGTTTCCTTATTAGAAATCGGAACTAATCCACTTCACTTCTAGAGCGCTAAATACAACATAATTTTGTATTTGGTTGTATGGATTCAGTTTGCAGACATGCAATTCTTCAATTCTTGTTTTTGTAGGCGAAAACTTCGCCATAGCAAGCAACAATTTTTATGCTCTCGTTTTTGTTGTAGTCCTTGTCCAATGGGCGGCCTCCATTCCTGCCGTTGTACTAGTTAGAATGGGCAGCAGCCACCGGTGTATTTAGCTTTAAAAACGCGGAAATTGGCGATGTGCGTGAAAAATATTCTCTCTCGTCAAAATTCTTGCAAAAGGGATCTTTGTGATGTATGATCGTCTGGCTGCATTTCAAATATTTTGTTGTGTCAAAGCAAAATAACGCTTCTAGTTCCATGGCAGCTTTACACTATCGTTAATTTATTGCCACGGTAAAAATTAATACCGGTATACCCATTTTCACCAGCGCTAAAAATATAATAGTTGAAAATAGCTAAAGCTAATATGAATGTACCAAATGAACCTTTTGGATAATCACGTCACAACATTATTGCTTTAAGTTTAAAACCACCTTAAAAATGAGTGATAAAAATTTTTCATTTGAACAATTAAATGTGGAATAACACGAGAACGAGGGTCGAGAACTTTCTTTTTATACTCTTTAGGTAATTTTTCGCGTACTCAATTAGCTTTTGCCTTTCCACAGCTTTAAATGTGCCGGTCAGATTACAAGGACCTTCGAGTGAAAACGGTACTGGTCGTGTTGAAGTTTTCTACAATGGAACTTGGGGAACAATCTGCGATGATGGATGGGATTTTAAAGATGCTAAGGTTGTATGTCGTCAACTTGGTTATCTGGATGCCGCAAAATTTCTTGAAGGGGGGCAGGTTCCTTCAGGTTCTGGACGAATATGGTTAGATGGTGTTAGTTGTTTAGGAACTGAAAATAGCATATCAAGCTGTTCTCATCGCGGATGGGGAATAAATAACTGCTATCATTCGGAAGATTCTGGAGTAGAATGTATAAAAACAGGTGAAGTTTCCAAAAATATCTGCTTACTATATTGATGCATTGCACAGTTTTAATGAAAATTGAATATTTGTTGAATCGTCGGAAGAATTTTTTCTTCGGAAAAGTTTTCATCTTTACCATGCATTCACGTTTATTTGATTGCTATAGTATAGTGCTTATTGGCTGGGCAAATTGAAATATGCAAACATTAATTGCACAATGAAATGCCTAAAGTGTATAAAAATTATTAGTAGTCCAAGTTCAATGTCGCCGGTTTAAATTGAGAGATCTGACAAGTGACATGTGAAAGTTCTCAAGCAACAATTTTATTGATACCACAACTGATAACACTGGCTATGCTCCACAAAACTACCAAGTTTTCTTTAATTTCATTCTTAAATCATTAATTAATATTCAAATCCTGCGTTTTTAGCTCAAGATTTGGCCATATAGAACAATCCTTATGCTCATGATAGTCTTGATTCTGTTCCTGTTGTAGTTTTGCCCCAAATAGGTTTTCATGTATTCCAAATTTGGCTGGACTTAGCGAACATGAAAGCTATTTAAAATTATAAGTCAACTGCTCTCTTTTGCGTGTTCTCCTTCATATAAAGGCTTTTTGTAAAAGATCTATTCGCACAACGCCAAAATTAACGGTCTACGTAATCTCTCATGCTTATGCTATTTTACACCAAAGTCACTGAAACCTTCTCTTGTACCTATATTTTCTCTCATTGACTGCTTATTCAAGTAGTTTTTGCCTTTTTAAAGCTACAAATGTGTCCGTCAGAATACAAGGGCCTTACAGAGGTATCCTACAATGGAGTATGGGGAACAATATGCGATTATAGATGGGATTTTAGAGATGCTAGGGTCGTGTGTCGTCAACTTGGTTATCTAGATGCCGTCAGATCTCTTCAAGGGGGGCAGGTTCCATCAGGTTCAGGACAAATATGGTTGGAAGACGTCAGATGTACAGGAAAAGAAAAGGTTATATCAAGATGCTCACATCCCGGATGGGGAATTAATTATTGCACTCATTCGGAAGATGCTGGAGTAGAATGTATTAAAACAGGTGAAGTTATCTAAAAATACCTTAGCATGAATCCTTAATAAAAATAATTTTTTCGGAATTTTTAGGAAAACACAGAAATGGAGCACACAAAATTGTAAACTACGACTCACAATCTTTGTATCGCTTATTTTTCCTATTTTTTCTTATTTTCTATTCATTGCTAATCTTCAACTAAAACTTCAAGGCTTTTAAATCGTTGGAAGCATTCGCATTTTTTTATCGGCTTGAACTGCCAATGACGTTTAGTTGGTCATGAAACGTTTTCATACCTATTTCAATTTCTGTCATTATATCTGCGTACTCGAATGGTTTTTCCTTTTTACAGCTTCAAGTGTGTCGTTGAGATTACAAGGGCCTTCAAGTGAAAATGGTACTGGTCGAGTAGAAGTATTTTACAATGGACTATGGGGAACAATCTGTGACGATGGATGGGATTTTAGAGACGCTAAGGTTGTATGTCGTCAACTTGGTTATCCAGATGCCGTAAGATCTTATCAAGGGGGGCAGGTTCCATCAGGTTCTGGACAAATATGGTTAACTGACATCAGATGTACAGGAAAGGAAGAGAATATATCAAGTTGTTCTCGTTCCGAATGGGGAATCAATAATTGTGATCATTCGAAAGATGCTGGAGTAGAATGTAGTAAAACAGGTGAAGTTACAAAATATCTGTTTTCCGCTATCGATTTATTGCCAATCACCAACCTAAACTTATAATGATATTATATAATATAATCCTGTTGCTGTGCTTGCACTTCAAATGTTTTTGCGTGTTAAATAGCTCGACTAATAGAGATATTCTATCACATCAGCCACCCTTACATTTTTTCAATTGCAAATCCCACACATCGCAAAAACCCACTCGCAAGCTTACTGAATTGTACTTGCAAATAACTAAATTTCACCTATTTTACGTATCTTATTACATGCCCATTTTCATTGGATAAAAGCTAAGCAAGCGAGCTGGCGAGCTGGATATTGCGAGTGGAAAAGGAGTTTAAATGTTAAAAGTTTAAATAGCTTTACACACAAGCATAAGCAAAATATTTGAAACCTAAGCCAATGCAAGACAAAAAAGGTTCCAAATATAATTATTTCATAGAATATCGTATATTTTATGAGATTGCCTATGTTCATAAGTTTTTTTTTGCCTTTCTACAGCTACAAATGTGTCGATCAGATTACGAGGGCCTTCAAGTAAAAATGGTATTGGTCGTGTTGAAGTATTCTACAATGGACTATGGGGAACAATCTGTGATGATGGATGGGATTTTAGAGATGCTAGGGTTATATGTCGTCAACTTGGTTACTCAGATGCAATCAGATCTCTTCAAGGGGGTGAGTTTCCCTCAGGTTCTGGGCAAATATGGTTAGATGACGTCAGTTGTAAAGGGAAAGAAGAGAATATATCAAGATGTTCTCATCCCGGGTGGGGAATTAATGATTGCGATCATTCGGAAGATGCTGGAGTTGAATGTAGTGAAACAGGTGAAGTAACCAAAATTGTCTTTCTATTGTCGTCTTCTCTCTTTCCTATTGAATAATAAATACTACCTTCATGGCCTATTTCCCAACTGAAACTTCAATATTTGTTGATTCGTTGGAAGCATTTGCGTTCTTCCACCTTGAACAGCGAATCGTTATAGTAACTATAATGATGATTGGCTGGTAAAATTGAAATATGCAAAAATAACAAATGTTACCCGAAGTATTTATCAGCTGTCTGAGTCCAACATCGCGAATCATTATTGTGATAGCTTACCTGACATAAGAATGTGACAGGTAAAAATCATGAACAAAGCTCATCTTTTTATTTTGTATCTTTTTGTACGTTCTGTTGTTGCAGTCAGGGTAATAAGCTATGGAATTGATACGCTTTAGTTGTCTCGCAAAAGCGCGCGGAAGGGGAGCGTTGAAGTCCCTAAAAATACTGCAGGAATAGAATTACTCTTTTCTTTGACTTATATTCCTCTTTTCTTAATAAAGGAATAGCAAATTCTTGAGTAATTTTTAATTTGAGAAATTTAATCCTGTAATTAATATTCTCATTTGAAATTGTAAAAAATCTCATCCGGAAAAACGAAGGATATCCAATCTGCTGTACTCTAGTTTACTAAAATTTAGTCTATTACTTTTGCTCTAAATATTCTTGGGGAGTAGGCTTAGCAGCGTTAACCACCCTAGCAGCGAAGAACCACCCTTCCTCAATAAGTAATACTGTACTACAACAGCTTGAAATTTAAACGTATTTGATTTTAATTGTATATAGGGTGTGGTAAGACATTTGTCTATCTAACTCTTCATAATGCTTATTTTCTGCTATAGCCTTCGTTCTCAAATAGCTTTTGGCTTTTTATAGCTACAAATGTGTCGATCAGATTACAAGGACCTTCAAGTGAAAATGGTACTGGTCGTGTCGAGGTATTCTACAATGGAACCTGGGGGACAGTCTGTAAAGCTGGATGGGATTTTAGAGATGCTAAAGTTGTTTGTCGTGAACTTGGTTATCCTGATGCCGTCAGACCTCCTCAAGGCAGACAGGTTCCATCAGCTTCTGGACAAATATGGTTAGATGACATCAGTTGTACAGGAAATGAAGAGAATATAGCAAGATGTTCTCATCGTGGATGGGGAATTAATAATTGCAATCATTCCGATGATGCTGGAGTAGAATGTGGTAATACAGATGGAGATACAAGAAGAAATAACCGCTTACTATCCATTCATTGCTAAATTCAACCCCCGCCCCCCTTCTCATTGCTAAATTTTGAGCCCATTTTGAGAAAATGATGTGAATCATTGTTATATATGCTAATAATGTAAAAAATCTGTATGTGATCTTGCCTATCGAAATTGTCCATCATTAATGCCAGAAAATCTTGCACATAATGTTTATTATGAACCTTATCAAGAGGCATACTGCCGGCCTAGCCCCACCTTGGTTTTTGCTGGCCCCACCTTCTGTGGTCGTTAAAAAACTATCAGTATCGCTCTTCGTGTTTACTTCTCAGCAACCGTAGGCTACTTATAAAGTAATGCCTATCTAATCTGAGTATACAGAATCAGAATATTTTATTAGTCTCGATATTCTTTCATGTTTTCTTAGGTAAGCCTGCCAGTGTTTTATTGAGGTTACAAGGACCATTGAGTGAAAATGGTATTGGCCGTGTTGAAGTTTCTTACTATGGACAATGGGGAACAATCTGTGATGTTGGATGGGATTTGAGTGATGCCAGGGTTGTATGTCGTCAACTTGGTTATAAAAATGCTGCTAGGCCACTTCGTCGTGGACAGGTTCCTCCTGGTTCTGGGCAAATATGGTTGTCTAACGTTGGTTGCAAAGGAAACGAACAAAATATAACAAGTTGTTTACATGAAGCTTGGGGAAATAAATATTGTACACACATTCATGACGCTGGAGTTGAATGCAGCTCAGAAGGTGAGATAAACAAAAACATTGAAAGATTGAAATGTACTCCTGACGCTTATCACCACGAAATGATTAGAATGAACCAAAGATGCCTCAAGATTCTTAAAAAAAAATTCATGTTCATATACTCGTTTAAACGATTGCTTTCGATGGAAATCGATCTGTCACGCAGTATAAAGCGCTTTGGCGACGACCCTGAACATAACTTCACAAAGGCTTTCTGCAGAGAAGAAATTAAATTAGCGCGGTTTCGCGCAACCAATATATTTAGTTTTCAACTTAATAAAAATTTGTAGCACATCGTAGATTAAAAACTTTAAAGTATAGAAGTTGAAAAATGCATGTCAGGTGGAATATTTCTACATAGGTACATGACTTTCACTTTGGATTTCGCGCTTATATTAAAAGCGTTTGTTCATATTATTATAACCTAGAGCTTAAATTAGCGTGTTAAAATTCCGCGCGAATTAATGTAAATGGTTCGTGTTGTGTTTCATCGTATTCTTCAATCGTGTGCAACGTGTCAACGCGCCATACACGACCACATCTTCAAACGGCGAAATAGCAGCGATATTATTAAATCAGAACCAGAATCCACATGTATTAAATTTATTCTTATATACTCCAGCTAAACCTAAATTAATCTAATCGAAAAGCATCAAAAGAGCGGTTTATTCGATTAATTTCCAAACGAAAAAAGCGCTTGTTTTTCCAAAGAAAATGCTGTTATACTCTTTCCTATCTCCCAATATAGGCTATGTCCCTTGCACTGGAAGAGAACCTAACAAGGCAAATTGTTCACATGGACCTTCGAGAAATAATAATTGCAAGCACAACGAAGACACTGGTGTGAAATGTGGTACAAAAGGTAAAACAAAATTTTGTCTAAATGTTGTAATGAGTCGCTGCCATTTTTGCTAAAGCTTGTTAGTTTTTCAATTTGAAAAATGTCTTTAAAAGTACGAATGATAAAACTCGCTTCACAAAAAGCTGTACAGTGCACAGTTTTTTGAAATGTAACCATGACAGTCGGCACAAAAATCTAGATGCGCGACATATATGGTGGTGTCCATATTTTTGGAAACCCTATATCTGAATGGGAGATCTATATGGTTTGCCCAAGCTTTGGAAACTGGTATATATTCGAATGAAAAAGATTGACGTTTATTTACGGATAATCAGTGCATGTAACATTTTACAGTTCTTCATGGTTGATGATATGATCTATTGCTTGTCTGTAGTTCATCTACTCTGTTTGGCTAACAATTACTATTTTCTACAAATTGATTAGGATTTTGTAAACACGATTCGATGTTAGGTTTGACGCTAGCTAATAACAACGCAGTCATCGCACTACCCAAGTTTGGGTAGTCTCATGGCAATATTTACCTTTGCTAGAGAAATATCGTGTGAATTTTGTGTAAGTTAGGATTACGCGCGAAAAAGTCTTACCGTTCTTATAGTAAAGTCTCTATAGACGTTTGCAGGCAATTTTTTTGTGTTTCAAAACTTTCAAATCTTTTGGGATATGAGCACAGAAATCTTTTCTTTCGAAATTAAAAAAGGCGAACTTATGGTAAGTTGAGCAGTCGTTGACTGTCAAATTTAGTTATTGTTGTATCCTAATGGATAAAATTTCAAAAAAAAGCGAGGAACTTTGCACCGAATATTTGCACCGAATAATTGTCTTCTTTGTTATTATCTTCCTTGTTATTATTCTTACCATCTGGTACAAGACAACAGTTGCAAAGATTGTGCAGGTAGATTTTTTTTTCTTATAAGCTGAAAAATTAATTTTTGTTAAATTCAAAACAGCAGACAATGCTGCTTGATACTTTTTGTACATTCCTTGTTCACCGATGATGGTAGCTGGTGCTTCAAAGAATGAATAAAAGAAGGCAAAACCTTTAAAAAATAACATTTACATGAATTACATAGTCCTAACCAGCTTTGTTTTTAACAGGGGTCACAAAAATTTGTGGTTTTGGTTTTCCAAATGAACTGATTGATAATGAACTGTTTTCCCCATGCAGAGGTATGTTCACTTGTACATATAGTGTATAGAAAATGACAACACATAATATTCATTAATACCCACATTGGTTAACAACGTAAAAGACGTTTGCTCCATGGAATTTGAGGCATGTAATCATATTCTAGCGGCACAATTGTCTAAAGAAATTAGATATGCAAACAAATGAGCATATTGTAGTAATTTTAGGTGTAGTCCATCTGTAGCTTAATATAAGGTCACGGTATTAAATCTTGAGAAGAAATTTATGTTTAAACCTCCGGTGATTTACCGTACCAGTCCTAAAGTATTCGAATAATTTGAAAACGTCAAAACAGGTAAATATAGAGAGGGCCACTTCCGTCTACGAGAATCCAGCTTTTTCTCCACAAAAGACGAATCAGCGAATTTGAAAGCGCAAAGGGATTCTTGACTATTAATAAAGATAACAGAACGTTTAAGCCTGGTTCACAATTGTCGCAAGAATCTTGGATTCTGTTTGTCTGAGGTCATGCACTGGTAGGCAAAATCCTTTGTCTGTGAGAAAAAAATACAATGGATCCCCGATTTTTAGATCAAGTGTGAACCGTGCCTAATGCTTGGTTCCATTAAGTCGTAAGTGTCGTAAACATGTCATGGTGGCTGTTGTGCATGATGAAATCTATTTATTTGCAATTATGCGTTTCTATTTTGAATAGAGAAATAAAGACAAATGTACAACCGGACTAATTCTCATCGGTGAAGATGACTCGTTCACGACAATTACGATAAAATAGAAACCTCGCTTAATAAGATTAGGACCGCATAATATTAATCAATAAAATTCCTTTCGGCTCCAAATTTGTTTCAAAAATAGGCTAACTAACTTAGCTATGGTGCTGATGAATTTAGACACCCTAATCAATCCAGGAATTTCTAAGCAATTTGAAACAAAAATGAAAAAACGCTTTTAGTATCGCAATTGCACGCCTCTTTCTTCAACAAATATTTATTTTCTCTTTCTGCATGGTCGAGAGTATTTTTGTCTATTTTAGGCAGTTGTTATATACCATATTTGAAGGGACGAATACGCTACCACGCTGCTGCCAGGTTAAAAAAAAATATATAAATACATGCAATATAAGTTCCCGCACATCATCTATCACCTTTCAATTAAATATTGGAGCATCTTTGATAGCATCGATTCCTGACGTAAAATAGGACCAAAGGGTCAGTTTTTTTGCCTGAAATTTTTCTTTTTATTATTGTGAAATGCTTGCCGTGAGCGATGCGATAATTCATTATGTAGATTATGAATGTTTATGAAAAATCAACACAAATCGTCTGAAGCCTCGATTTTGAAGCTAAGTATATCAAAATGATCCTAGAAATGTGAACTAAATCATTCTAACCAGTTTTTGTTTCAATTGCGCAGTCAATTGTACTAGTACGTAAAATCAATAACAACACCATGCATTTAATGTATTCCATTTAATGAAAATCGATAGCGCGAAACGAATTTCAATAACCATTACCAGAAATTTGCGACATGATAGTTTGCATGTATACTAATTTGCATTTAACTTTCAGCATAATGGCCTTCAACATTTACTATAAAATATATATAGTAAATATACAAAACTTAAAAATGCCGTTGACCTAGACCTTGCCTACTGTTTGCCGACCTCTAGATCGGTAGAGCAGCTGTTTATAAACGTTTTGGTGGCCGAATTTTTTTGCCTAGGCATTTCTGTAATCTGCCAAATTTAAAAATATATTGCTGAAAGTTTCGTCCGTGTTCTGTCAACGAACTTATAAAATCGCTCACATTGATTCGAATATTTCGATTCAGGTAGTTGATGAATTGACGTGTAATATACCAAAAAAAGTTGTTAAAGATATTGTCTTTCGTATTTGTGTATAAACTTTTCTGTACGGCTCGGATTTTCACTGCAATCACTTTAAGAAATATTATCAGTCTTATCAGGAACTTGAACAATACGAAGGCTATATACACATTTGTTCACAATCAGTTGGCCGAACGTAGAAATACCTAAGGTAAGTAATTCGATCATTAAAACGTTGGGAAACGGCTGTTCCATTGACCCAGAGGTCGGCAAACAGTGGGCAAGTTCTAGGGCAACGACATTTTAAGGTTTTGTGTATTTACTATATGTATTTAATAGTAAAAGTTGAAGGCCATTATGCTGAAAGTTAAATGCAAATTAGTATAAATGCAAATTATCATGTCGCAAATTTCTGGTAATGCATTTATTGAAAACACAATTAGCATTGTTGCACAAACGATACAAAGAAACCAAAATAGATTTAAACAAAATAGTCATTAACACACTGTTCGCATACATTCTGTTGATCAATCTTATATCTATCTTTGTCGTTAAAAATTAAATTATTCTGCCATTTTAACGGAATTATTCTGCCATTGCCATTGGAAGAATACCGAAAACAAATTCATCACAGTTGGAAAATGCGTTGCCCTGGCACAAGCTAATGCAAGGGCACTTACCTAGATGTTTAGCGTGCAAGAGAACAAATACAGAGTTAAAATCAAACGTAAAATAGTCTTCTGGTGTGAATAAGAAAACATTCCGTTAAAAGATAGATATTAGATTGATCAACAGAATGTATGTGAACAGTGTGTTAATGACTATTTCGTGTAAATGTATTTTGGTTTAATTGTATTGTCTGTGCAACAATGCTTATTGAGTTTTCAATAAATGTTATTGAAATTCGTTTCGCGCGCGCGCGGTATCGATTTTTATCAAATGGGACACATAATTAGGTGTTGTTACTTATTTTACGTACTAGTTACGTACTAGTACATTTAAATGTGAGTTGCCTCTTTTGAAAATTAAAAACGCATAATTGAAATAGAAATCATTCTAATGATTTCCCTTTCTACGTAAATGATCAGCAAATGCTTTGATGACATAAATATTTTAACGTAAAATATTCTTCCGTTTTCGAATTCTTTGGCATCGTGTAGACGGGTCCTTATAGTTATGCAAATAATTATTTCGCAGCATGTTCCCCCCGCATGAGATGAAATTTAGAAAATATTCACGGAACGGAATATATGTTATTAAAAGTCATTAAATTCCTGCACGTCAGTCGAATTTGGCATATTTTTTAAATATTTATAGAATGTAGTCGAATCGTAAAATGTTTGACTGGAAAAGCTTTGACTGAAAAGTGCATTTGAAATATTGTTGACTAAATTGTTCCACGAAATATTCCCCTTATTTACACGCAAGCGCGTGATTGCACGAGTGTTGTATAGTCATTCCGAAAGTGTAACTATAGACTATGAAACTTGTGACTTTTGTAGGCTTTTCCAGAAGTCCAAGATATATATTACGCTCCTAAAAAGAGGAAGTGCTTAACAAGGGCTGGGAAGGCCTTTAACGTATATTAAAACATTGAGTATGCCAGCAATCACTTCCTCCTCGTTGCGTGAAGCCCAACTTTAAAGCCATGCTGAGTTACGTCTTCATAACTATCGTTATATTTGCTGTGAAACACTTGCCTTGGCAGTGCAAAGGTAAAAAGACTCATATTTATTAATTTCATGAAAAATTGACCTGTATGAAGTTATAAGTTGTAATATGTAATCATGTTTATATCGGCATAAATACTTCCGTTAGGGTATCGAACGTCAGCATTATATATACTATACAAAGTGAGTACTAAAATGATGCCTTACAATAATGGGAGGTATAGAAACTTCGGTTAACTGCGTCGAGTTGGACGCTAAATTAATCTGGATAGTCATAAGCTCGGCATTTCGACACTATCTGCACGTCTAAAAGTCGTCGACGTAAATCCTGGCGCATCGCCGAGTCTGCAGCTAAATCTTTTGGCCGCAACCCTGAAGTCTGAATTGATAGCTGTCCGTATAGAGGATTAACGAATTTCCGAAAGCTAATGGTAAAATTTGATTTTGACGCCAGAACCATTTCATTCTCGATGCCCTAATGCAATACTACTACCAACTGGAGGCTCACCTTCTCGCATCCTGTTATATAAACGCCCGTTCACACGTACGATTAAAGCCGGTTTTCCACAAGCGATATTTTTCGCGCGAAGCGACTTTATTCCTTTGTATTTGAGCAATTTGTTCCAGATGGTTGCAGTTGAGAGCTCTGAAAAAAAAGTAAAACGTCGTTTCGCGCGAAAAACATCGCTAGTGGAAAACCGGCTTAAGACGGCCAGACAAGGCGTAGACGATTTATCAGTCACAATATCGACTTGTATAAGTTGCCTTGTTTAGAAATCGGAAGTAATCCACTTCACTTCTAGAGCGCATATTGATTATGTTATCAATACCTTACACGTTATGATGCAACGCTTTGTCGGATTCGGTTTGCAGACATGCAATTCTTCAATTCCTGTTTTTGTAGGTCAAAACTTTGCCATGGCATTGTAGTCCTTGTCCAATGGGCGGCCTCCATTCCTGCCGTTGTACTAGTCAGAATTGCCTGCAGCCACCGGCGTATTTAAATCTAAATTTTACCTAAAGGCATTTTCATTGGATAAAAACCTAGCAAGCGAGCTGGCGAGACAAAAGAGCTACAAATATAACTGGTTTTGCCTAAAAATGTAAAAAAATATGCCAATTATAGTTTTAAACGAAATTCCTCCTTGTTGTTTAAATGTCAAAAGTTTAAATGGACGGTCAGTGGAGTTTAATGTAGTAAAACAGGTGAAGTTACCAAAATTGTCTTTCTATTGACGTCTTCTCTCTTTCGTCCTATTAAATAATAAATAATACCTTTCAATGTTTGTTGAATCGTTGGAAGCATTTGCGTGCTTCCATCTTGAACAGCTAATCGTTATGGTAGCTATAGTGCTGATTGGCTGGTAAAATTGGAAATATGCAGACATTTGTCGCTACATGAATACCCGAAGTTTTTATTAGTAGTCTAAGTTCAACATCGCGAACCATTATTGTGATAGCTAGATGCACAAAGAATTTGACAGGTATTTAAATACTAACTTTCTTGTCTTATACTCTTTAGGTAATTTTTTGCGTACTCAATTACCTTTTGCCTTTCCACAGCTTTAGATGTGCCGGTCAGATTAAAAGGACCTTCGAGTGAAAACGGTACTGGCCGTGTTGAAGTCTTCTACAATGGAACTTGGGGAACAATCTGTGATGATGGATGGGATTTTAAAGATGCCAAGGTTGTATGTCGTCAACTTGGTTATTTAGATGCCGTCAGATTTCTTGAAGGGGGGCAGGTTCCTTCAGGTTCTGGACAAATATGGTTAGATGGTGTTGGTTGTTTCGGAGTTGAAAATAGTATATCAAAATGTTATCATCACGGATGGGGAATTCATGATTGCACTCATTCGGAAGATGCTGGAGTAGAGTGTATAAAATCAGGTGAAATTTCCAAAAATATCTGCTTACTATACTGATTCATTGCACATTTTTAAATGAAAATTTAATGTTTGTTGAATCGTTGGAAGAATCTGCATGTTTTCATCTTCCCCATACAGACACGTTTAGTTGATTGCCATAGTATAGCGCTGATTGGCTGGGCAAATTGAAATATGCAATTATTAATTGCACAATTGAATGCCTAAAGTGTCTATTAGTTGTCCAAGTCCAATGTCGCCGGTTTAAATTGAGAGAGCTGACAAGTGACATGTGAAAGTTCTCAAGCAGCAATTTCATTGACACCACAACTGATAACACTGGCTATGCTCCGCAAAACTACCAAGTTTTCTTTAATTTCATTCTTAAAACATTTGATTAATATTCAAATCCTGCGTTTGTGGCTCAAGCCATACCTTCTCTTGTACCTATAGTTTCTCTCATTGACTGGTACCCAAGTAGTTTTTGCCTTTTTACAGCTACAAATCTGTCGGTCAGATTACAAGGGCCCTTAAGTGAAAATGGTACTGGTCGTGTTGAGGTATTCTATCATGGACTATGGGGAACAATCTGTGATTATGGATGGGATTTTAGAGATGCTAGGGTTGTATGTCGTCAACTTGGACATCTAGATGCCGTCAGAATTCTTCAAAGAGAGCAAGTTCCACCAAATGGTTCAGGACAAATATGGTTAGAAGACGTCAGTTGTACAGGAAAAGAAAAGGTTATATCAAGATGCTCACATCGCGGATGGGGAATTAATTATTGCACTCATTCGGAAGATGCGGGAGTAGAATGTATTAAAACAGGTGAAGTTACCAAAAAATATGTTGTTATGAATTCTTAATAAAAAGTATTTTCTTTGAATATTTAGGAAAACGTAACACACAGAATTGGAAACCACGACTCACAATCTTTGTATCGCTGATTTTTCATATTTTCCCTATCTTCTATTCATTGCACGTCTTCAACTGAAACTCCAATGTTTAAATCGTTGGAAGCATTTGCATTTGCTTCCATCGGCTCGAACAGCCAATCACGTTTAGTTGGTCATAAAACTTTTTTAAACCTATTTTAACTTCTATCAATATATCTGCGTACTCGAATGGTTTTTCCCTTTTTACAGCTTCAAGTGTGTCAGTGAGATTACAAGGGCCTTCAAGTGAAAATGGTACTGGTCGAGTTGAAGTATTTTACAATAGACTATGGGGAACAATCTGTGATGATGGATGGGATTTTAGAGACGCTAGGGTTGTATGTCGTCAACTTGGTTATCCAGATGCCGTCAGTTCTCTTCAAGGGGGTCAGGTTCCATCAGGATCTGGACAAATATGGTTGGCTGACGTCAGATGTACAGGAAAAGAAGAGAATATATCAGGATGTTCTCATTCCGAATTGGGAATCAATAATTGCGGTCATTCGAAAGATGCTGGAGTAGAATGTAGTAAAACAGGTGAAGTTACAAAATATATGCTTCCCGCTATTGATTTATTGCCATACACCAACTGAAACTTCGATGTTCTTCTATAATATATAAAATAATCCTGTTGCTGCATTTGCACTTCAAATGTTTTTCCGTGCCAAATATCTCGTCCAGGCTAAGTTTACGCTACAGTAAATTTACTGGCACTCGGTACGAAAAAAATTGGTGCCAGTATACCCATCTTTGTCTTCGTTTACTCTACAATACAATGGCAAAAATAGCTGAAAATGTTTCATTTGACTCTTCACAAATTATTCACAAGTTTGATAGACCTTAATCTTGCCCAAATCAAGCGGAAATGTCAAATCTTGATTTTCTGTTGCGGCGTAAGCATAAGCATAGATCTTGGTTTCCATTTAATTGTATTTTTCGTTACACGTCATGATGTAATAGAATATTGCTACCCGTGCTCAGCCAACAATGACTGGTAAGAATTCACGAAATGAAGATAGTTTTACATCGGACTAGTTACCATCGGTGAAAACGACTTCTTCACGACAATTACGTCATAATGGGAACGAGGCCTAAGGAAGACAAAGGCAAAATAATGAAAAGGGGACCCCAGTCTCGACATAAGCCTAGTTGTTTTGAATTTTGTCGCAGTTGTCGTAAACAAGTCTTCACCGATGAGAAATAGTCCGGACTTAAGTTTTCTTCTGTATTCAAATCCGTCGTTGTTTCCTGCACACTCACAGAAACATTCTATCACATCAGCCACACTGACATTTTTTCAATTGCAAATCCCACTCATCGCAAAAACCCACTCGCAGGATCACTGCTAGTGCTTGCATATAATTTTACCTAAATGCATTTTCATTGGATAAAAACCTAGCAAGCGAGCTGGCGAGACAAAAGAGCTACAAATATAACTGGTCTTGCCTGGAAAATGTATACAAATATGCCAATTAGTTTAAAACGAAATTCCTTTTTGTTGAAATGTTAAAAGTTTAAATGGCTTTACGCACAAGCATATAGAAAAAGATTTCAAACAAGCTAAGGCAAGACAAAAGAGTTTCAAATACAATTTCCTAGAATATCAAGTATTTCCTGCTTTTATACTTATTTTCTGAGATTGCCTACGTTCTCAAGTAGTTTTTGCCTTTCTACAGCTACAAATGTGTCGGTCAGATTACGAGGGCCTTCAAGTGAAAGTGGTCTAGGTCGTGTTGAGGTATTCTACAATGAAACTTGGGGAACAATCTGTGATGATGGATGGGATTTTAGAGATGCTAGGGTTGTATGTCGTCAACTTGGTTACTCAGATGCAATCAGATCTCTTCAAGGAGGTGAGGTTCCCTCAGGTTCTGGACAAATATGGTTAGATGACGTCAGTTGTAAAGGAAAAGAAGAGAATATATCAAGATGTTATCATCACGGATGGGGAATTGATGATTGCGATCATTCGGAAGATGCTGGAGTTGAATGTAGTAAAACAGGTGAAGTTACCAAAATTGTCTTTCTATTGGCGTCTTCTCTCTTTCCTATTAATAATAAATAATACCTTAATTGCTTATTTTTAAAATGAAACTTCAATGTAATGTTTGTTGAATCGTTGGAAGCATTTGCGTGCTTCCATCTTGAACAGGGAATCGTTATAGTACCTATAGTGATGATTGGCTGGTAAAATTGAAATATGCAAACATTTCTTGCTACATGAATACCCGAAATATTTATCAGTTGTCTGAGTCCAACATCGCGAATCATTATTTTGATAGCTTACCTGACACAGAGAATGTGACAGGTAAAAATCATGAACAAAGCTCATTTTTTATTTTATATCTTTTTGTGCGTTTTGTTGTTGCAGTCAGGGTTATAAGCTTTGGAATTGATACGCCTAAATTGTTTCGCAAGAGCGCCCGGAAGGGGAAGCGTTGAATTCCATTAAAATACAACAGGAATAGAATTACTCTATTGTTTGACGTATATTCCTCTTTTCGTTAAGAAGGAATAGCAAATTCTTGCGTACTTTTCATCCAGGAATCCAGGAATCTAATTCTGTAATTAATATTCTAATTTGAAATTGTAAAAAATCTCATGCGAAAAAACGAAGGTAATTCCATCTGCTGTACTCTAAACTTTTAGTCTACTAAAATTTAGTCTACTACTTTTACTTTTACTCTAAATATTCTTGGGGAGTAGGCCTATCAGCCTAAGTTCCTGATGACGCTATATTTAACTAGCTATATGTCTGGAACCACCCTCCCCCAATAAGCAATATACTGTACTTCAACAGCTTGAAATTTAAACGTATTTGAATTTATAGGTTGTGGTAAGACATTTGTCTAACCAACTCTTCATAGTGCTTATTTTCTGCAATAGCCTGTAGTAGCAAATAGTTTTTGGCATTTATAGCTACAAATGTGTCGATCAGATTACAAGGGTCTTCAAGTGAAAATGGTACTGGTCGTGTTGAGGTGTTCTACAATGGAACCTGGGGAACAATCTGTGATGATGGATGGGATTTCAGAGATGCTAAAGTTGTATGTCGTCAACTTGGTTATCCTGATGCCGTCAGACCTCTTCAAAAGAGACAGGTTCCATCAGGTTCTGGACAAATATGGTTAGATGACATCAGTTGTACAGGAAAAGAAGAGAATATAGCAAGATGTTCTCATCGTGGATGGGGAATTATTAATTGTAGTCATTCCGATGATGCTGGAGTAGAATGTGGTAAGACAGATGGAGATACAAAAAGAAATATCCGATCACTATCCATTCATTGTTAAATTCCACCCCCGCCCCCCTCCCCATTGGTAAAATTTTGAGGCCATTCTGAGAAAATGAAGTGAATCATTGTTATATGTGCCAATAGTGCAAAAAATTTGTATGTGATCTTGCCTATCGAAATTGTCTATCAATAATGCCAGAAAATCTTGCACATAATGTTTATTATGAACCTTATCAAGAGGCATACTGCCCGCCTAGCCCCATCTTGGTTTTTGCTGTCCCCACCTTTTGTGGTCATTAAAAAACTATCAATATCGCTCTTCGTGCTTACTTCTCAGCAACCGTAGGCTACTTATAAAGTAATGCCTATCTAATCTGAGTATGCAGAATCAGAATATTTTATTAGTCTCGATATTCTTTCATGTTTTCTTAGGTAAGCCTGCCAGTGTTTTATTGAGGTTACAAGGACCATTGAGTGAAAATGGTATTGGCCGTGTTGAAGTATTTTACTATGGACAGTGGGGAACAATCTGTGATGTTGGATGGGATTTGAGTGATGCCCGAGTTGCGTGTCGTCAACTTGGTTATAAAAATGCTGCTAGGCCACTTCGTCGTGGACAGGTTCCTCCTGGTTCTGGGCAAATATGGTTGTCTAACGTTGGTTGCAAAGGAAACGAACAAAATATAACAAGTTGTTTACATGAAGCTTGGGGAAATAAATATTGTCGACACATTCATGACGCTGGAGTGGAATGCAGTTCAGAAGGTGAGATAAACAAAAACATGGAAAAATCGAAATGTACTTCTGATGCATATTTTCACGAATTGCGATCATTTTGGTTCACTCTAATCACCACGAAATGATTAGAGTGAACCAAAGATGCCTCAAGATTCTTAAAAATAAATTCCTGTTCATATATATACTCGTTTAAACGATTGCTTTCGATGGAAATCGATCTGTCACGCAGTATAAAGCGCTTTGGCGACGACCCTGAACATAACTTCACAAAGGCTTTCTGCAATAGAAGAAATTAAATTAGCGCAGTTTCTTGCAACCAATATATTTAGTTTTCAACTTAATAATAATTCGCACACCTTCTTAAATTTCATATTTTTTTTGCCTTTACAAGTCAGTTTCTTAAAATAACATGGCGCGCCTGCTCTGGCGTTAACTCGCCAGTCTTGAGTATAAAGCTACTAAACATAAATGTTATTCGACATTCAGAAACACATCGTACATTAAAAACTTTAAAGTATAGAAGTTGAAAAATGCATGTCATGTGGAATATTTCTACATAGGTACATGACTTTCACTTTGGAATTCGCGCTTATATTAAAAGCGTTTGTTCATATTATTATAACCTAGAACTTAAATTAGCGTGTTAAAATTCGCGCGCGAATTAATGTAAATGGTTCGTGTTGTGTTTGATCGTATTCTTCTATCGTGTGCGACGTGTCAACGCGCCATACACGACCACACCCTCAAACGGCGAAATAGCAGCGATATTATTAAATCAGAACCAGAATCTACATGTATTAAATATATTCTTATATACTCCAACTAAACCTAAATTAATCTAATCGAACAGCATCAAAAGAACGTTTTTTCGATTAATTTCCAAACGAAAAAAGCGCGTGTTTTTCCAAAGAAAACGCTGTTATACTCTTTCCTAATCTCCCCATATAGGCTATGTCGCTTGCACTGGAAGAGAACCTAATAAGGCAAATTGTTCACATGGACTCTCGAGAAACAATAATTGCAAGCACAACGAAGACACTGGTATGAAATGTGGTACAAAAGGTAAAACAAAATTTTGTCTAAATGTTGTATTGAGTCGCTGCCATTTTTGCTAAAGCTTATTAGTTTTTCAATTTGAAAAATGTCTTTAAAAGTACGAATGATAAAACTCGCTTCACAAAAAACTGTACAGTGCACAGTTTTTTGAAATGTAACCATGACAGTCGGCACAAAAATCTAGATGCGCGACATATATAGTGGTGTCCATATTTTTGGAAACCCTGTATCTGCATGATTGGGATATCTATACGGTTTGTCCAAATTTCGGAAACTATATATTTGAATGAAAAAGATTGACATTTATTCACGGATAATCAGTGCATGTAACATTTCACTGTTCTGCATGGTTGACAAAATGATCTGTTGCTTGTCTGTTGTTGATCCACTCTGATTGGCTAACAATTACTATTTTCTAGAAATTGATTAGAATTTTGTAAACACGGTTCGATATTACGTTTGACGTTAGCTAATAATAGCGCAGTCAGCGCACTACCCAAATTTGGGCAGTCTCACAGCGATATTTACCACTGCTAGAGAAATATCGTGTGAATTTTGTTTAAGTTAGGATTACGCGCGAAAAAGTCTTACCGTTCTTATAGTAAAGGCTTTATAAGCGTTTGCAAGCAATTTTTTTGCGTTTCAAAATCAATCTTTTGAGATATGAGCACAGAAAAGCTTTTCTTTCGAAAAATGGCCAATTTACGGTAAGTTGAGCAGTCGTTGACTGTCAAATCTAGTTATTGTTGTATCCTAATGGATCGGAAATGTCAAAAAAAAAGCGAGGAACTTTGCACCGAATTTTTGCCCCGAATAATTGTCTTCTTTGTTATTATCTTCCTTGTTATTATTCTTACCATCTGGTACAAGACAACAGTTGCAAAGATTGTGCAGGTAAATTATTTTTTCTTATAAGCTGAAGAATTAATTTTTGTTAAATTCAAAACAGCAGACAATGTTGTTTGATACTTTTTGTACATTCCTTGTTCACCGATTAAGGTAGCTGGTGCTTCAAAGAATGAATAAAAAAAGGCAAAATGTTTAAAAAATAACATTTACATAAATTACATAATCCTAACCAGCTTTTTTTTTAACAGGGGCCACAAATATTTGTGGTTTTGGTTTTCCAAATGAACTGATGGATAATGAACTGTTTTTCCCATGCAGAGGTATGTTCACTAGTACATAGTGTATAAAAAACGATAACACATATAATATTCATTAATATCCACATTGGTTAACAACGTAAAAGACTTTGCTCCATAGAATTTGAGGCTTGTCATCATATTCCAGCGGCACAATTGTCTAAATTGTCTTTAGGCGCAGTCCATCTAGCGCAGTCAATCTGTAAGGTCAAGGTATTACACCTCGAGAAGAAATTCATGTTTAAACCTCCGCTGATTTACCACCAGTCCTAACGTATTCGAATAATTTGAAAACGTCAAAACTGGGAAATATAGAGAGGCATACTTCCGTCCACGAGAATCCGAGTTTTTCTCCACAAAAGACGAATCAGCGAATTTGAAAGCGCAAAGGGATTCTTCACTACTAATAAAGATAATAGAGCGTTTAAGCCTGGTTCACACTTCTTGAAGACATCTTGGATTCTGTTTGTCTGCGGTCATGCACTGGTGCGCAAAATTTTTTGTCTGTTAGAAAAAATTACAATGGATCCCCGATTCTTAGATCAAGTGTGAACCATGCCTAATGCTTTGTTCCATGAAATCGTAAGTGTCGTAAACATGTCACGGTGGCTGATGTGCATGATGGAATATTTCTATTTATTTGCGCTTATAGTTATAGATAGGACGGTGCAACACGCTTATCGCGCGCTGATCGACGTGTGATGAGGAAGTAGCCTGGGTCTCGAGAAGGTTTTTGAGAAAATTGGGAAAAATATACATTTTAATTCGAGATGCTTTTTTTCTTGCGAGAATAAATTTAGGCAATTTATTAATAAATTCATATTTTGGC